AGATAAAAATTAGAATGCCCTTTATTTCACTTCCAAATTAACAAGTTAAATATACAAAGGAATAAGTAAGATATAGAAAAAGTAATTAATTAACTCAAGGATAAACATTGCAGATGCCACTTGGGAAACTTCCCTGTTCTTTTTTTGTTGAACTGTGCAATTGCATTTTTTACTTCTGCTTGGAGGAGTAGATGGGACATCGATTTAATCTCTTGTCTGAAAGACAGGATTTTCAACAGTGCATCACTCTGTCAGTATTGTGCTGGAGGGTCAATTTGAATTTTAAAGCTAAATTGCCAATTTTGCTATTTACCAAAATGCTTCATTCCTGCAATTCTGTGATAGATTCTGTGCACGGATTTTTAAAAATGCTATCTGTTAAAGCCTTCCGTCGTGCGTTTATTGTGAAGGCTTAGTACTGGGGGAATTTAAAATTAAAGCTGGAAGTAAAACTTTGATGTATCTGTTCTTCCCCTATGCACAAAAAAGTGATTGCAAACTGTGGACATATAATATCATCCTATTTTACATATATTGAATGAGGTAATCTGTCATAAAACTTTATTTTGTGCACCTCCAAAATGCATTAACCTATATACAAATATTATGATTTAAAATATGCCAGTACTTGATCAGACATTATGGAACATACATTTCAGTTGGAGATTTACAAGGTTTAAAATAGTCATCAAACCTCCCTGGTTCATAAGTTCTGTATTCCAAAATAGTGTCCTCTCTATTAAGTCACTTTTGGATGTGCTGTTGCTGTCAGTTTGTGGATGACAACACATATTTTCACCACTGATATCCACGCAGTTTGTGTGAGCTGAGAAGGACTATAGTTTATGATGCAGGGAAAGTCTTTGCTTTCATTATTTTTTTCTCAATCAGTACAAGAAAGATATCAGTTATCACAACCAGCAGCCTGAATAACAAGTGTCCACACTTGAAGAGAGTAGCCATTTTCCTTGAATAGTTTCCCAATTTATACTTATATTTTGTCTAGGTTTTATAATTATTTGTACTTCTTTCATGTTGTCCTTTGTATTATAGGTTATTTACTAACTAGAGGTGATCTCATTTTGAATAGTTATTAACAAATATTTTGTTCCTGAAAGGTATTGGTATGAATTGTTTAATAACTCCGTATCAAAGAATGCCTGTAATTGTCCTGGGATGCATGGGCCCTGACAGTAACTTAAGTAAAATGCCTTTCGAGAATTGGAATGGGGCATGAACTAGTCATGACAGTGCAGTTATGAAATAAGTATTTATTCAGCTGTCAGTTCACCGCTTGAAATCAGTAAGATCATGCAGGGCAGGAAATCGGACAAATCAGAATTTGAGTCATTCTTAAGCCAATGTAAATTTATGCGCTTTGCAAATGTATTAAATTGACCACTTGCAAAGGGAACTAACATAGGCAGCAAATGAACTGACAATTACATTGATGCAATGCTACATTGTAAAAGAGTAGTTGCTTTTAAACTTGTATAGGTTAACAAAACTGAATGTACAGAAGCATTAAACATAATTGTCAAAACATTTGAATAAGAATGCAAATACTGAAAATAAACTTGTGGGCATTGAATTTATAGCTAATTAAAAATAAAAGTCAGAAGAGTTGATACCTGATGAAAACTGGAGTGAACTGGTGGAATTGCATAGGTGTGAAATATAACTTTTCTTTATTCATTCATGGGATAAGGGCATCGCTGGCTAGGCAGCATTTATTGCCTATCCCTAATTGCCCAGGAGGCAGTTAAGAGTCAACCACATTGCTGTGAGTCTGGAGTTACATGTAGGCCAGACCAGGTAAGGATGGCAGTTTCCTTCCCTAAAGGACATTAGTGAACCAGATGGGGTTTTCCCGACAATCATTGGTGGATTCATGGTCATCGTTAGATTCTTAATTCCAGATATTTATTGAATTCAAATTCCACCATCTGCCGTGGTGGAATTTGAACCTGGGTCCCCAGAACATTATCTGGGTCTCTGGATTAACAGTCTAGTGATAATACCAGTAGGCGATCACCTCCCCAATATTTTACAGGGTTCTAAAGAAGAAATATAAACAATTAAATTGAATAGTTAATCATAATTTTGTTTTCTGAAGTAAAAAGAAATGCTCCTAAAAACAATACAGCCATAGTGGCACTCTGAGTGGAGTATTGATGAATTCATGGGAATTTTCAGTGGGAAAGGATTAAAATTTGGTCACATTAAGGAGAAACCGAATGAGGAACAAATGGGGAATTTAGCGAAGATAGACTGCATTATGCCTGTGAAATGATCAGACATTTCAATGGAAAAAATATTTGAACCATGAAATTTATGGAATGTGTGTATTCTTGTCTGAAAATGGATGGACTACTGAACAGTCTATAAAGGATTTGCTTGATGTGATATTCCCATGGTCAAATTTATTTTACCCAATGCTGTAATCTGGTGATTATTTTACAGATGCCAAAAGTGAAATGTTCTTCAAAACTGTCGTGAAAAAGATAATAGTACATAAATAAAACACATTTGTGGGTCTGAATTTAGAATTTAACCTCTTCTATCCACTTTCACTCATGCATTCTAAATAAATTCCTCTTTCTTTCCATCTCTTTTATTCATACACTGTCCTTTAAAATAACTGTGACATTCAATGCCAGCTGTGAGATTGTTTTGAAGAAAGAGGGAAATATAAATCAATTGTCCAAAAGCATTCATTCTATTGACTTCTGTCTTTTTAATAAGGGAGTAAAAGTTCATTATTACTTCAGATTTCAAATCTTTAAAAGATTTACAAGCTAGGGGTGTTTATGATTTCTTTAATTATTAATTTAAGTTACGCTCTTTATGAGCATAACACCTCTATGACCAAAAATGAAGACATCACTGTCCCAGCCAACTACCAGAAGTTATCATTTAACACAGATTTGACACACTCTCATGATCCCCATTGAAGGATGTTGCATTCAAATCAAAAATTTGAACCCATTTTGAGCTTGTGTCACCTGACTATAGAACAGCTGACCTATCAGTTTGGCTGGCAGTACTCTAAGGTGGGGTTTCCACCCTTGCGTAGACAAGGAGCTAGCACTTACATAGTGCCTTTCATTGCCTCTGTACATTCTGAAGAGTCTGACAGAAGATGAAGTATATTTGAAGTGATAAATGTAGGAAACATATTTGTGCATAACAAGTTTCCACAAACAGAAATGTGATGAGGCCCAGATGATCAGATTATTAATAAGACTGAGGGACAAATACTGGCAAGGACACCAGCGATCATTCACTGCTGTTCTTTAAATAGTGCAATGTGGTGTTTTTACATCCACCTGAGAGAGCAGATGGAACCTCTTAGATAAAATCTTAAGCAAAGACAACACCTCCAAACTTGCTGTACAGAAATTACTTTCTGACTACTCTTTAAAAAATCAGATCTTCACAAAAACGTAAATTAATATCTATTTTGCTTCTACTTTTGAACCGAAGTTCTCAAATGATGAGAATATATTATGATCCTTCATTGCAAGTGCCTTTGTAGGCTTTTGTACTAGAGATTCTTGAGTAGGATTTCTAAAATAGATGGAAAGTGTGGTACTAAATATTATTTGATTTAAATCTATATGTTGGTCCAAGGGAAATGGGTAGGGGATTAGGGACAGCAGATGGGTAAACAATAATTTAAGGAACATTCTGACCAGAATGAACAATTAGAGACAAATTAACATGGCCAAAAATCATCAATCAGTAAAGGAATCCAAAGTGAAATATAAGCTGTGACAACAATTAGACAGCAGAACATCTTGTAAAATAGCATAATATTTGCAAACTGACAGCTTAATTTGGTCATCGACCTTTATATTCTGTATTTTAAAAATTGTTTCAAAATGTAATGACATAAGACATCGTCAGCAGAGGCAAAAAAGAAAGCTGGAAAAGCTCAGCAGGTCCGGCAGCATCTGTAGAGAGAAATCAAAGTTAATGTTTCGGGTCGAGTGACCCTTCCTCAGAATCATTAGCAGATGACCCTGCATTTAGTGGTTTTATTAAGATGTACATTTCAAACAGATTTCATGAAATTCAGACCCTCTTGACACTAATTAGGAATGAAATGATTAGGGTGTGTCATGATTAGGATGCAATAAATTGTCCATTAATTTCCTCAATTATTTGATCGTCAATATTGTTCCCAAATCACGATTAGCATAGTATTGAAGCTCCCAGAAATTGTTAAATTCCATATACTGCACTTAAAATATTGATAATTCTATCAATAGAAGGTTTCAAGTACATTTGAAGACAGTTTTGTTTCCACTAACTGCAGTCATAATGTAAACATTTTTTAAAAAAAAGACAGGACACTGATTTAACTTTGGATTGTTAAAAGATATAGATTGACTATAGTGAAATATATTTAGTCACAAATATGTAATTTTATATTACTGAATTTAATTATGTAAAGTTATTACTTGTTTTATTTCACACTGCCATTATGATTTTAGTTAGAGTTCACATCCTCTCTCTCTGCACAGCTGCAGTGATGCTATCTCGTGTCTTTTGGGGATGAAGAACCATAATGGGAGCAATGCCAAATCCTTTGACTATTTGGGAATAAACTCCGTTTGGGACTATAATGAAGTGGCTACAAATTTTGCTTTGGTTGTTGTGATTCTGTTATGTTTCTAACCTTAGCCATACACAAGTTTAAACTTATAGTGATGAAATGTAATCTATTTGTTATGGTGGCAGACTATTAATCTGTAAAATAATATTAACAGAACTAAAACTATAGATAAAATGGAATTTCTTTGATTAATATTCATTTAATACATTATATGGTTTAAAACAAATAGACATTTGCTCGAGCTGAACAGTGAACAACTCGTCTACTGACTCCCCAAAACCTGTTCACCATCCACAAGGCACAAGTCAGGAGAAGTGAAATAATTACCCTTAATTAATTTGTTTAGTTTTACATTAACACTTGTTTCTATTGAAACCAGGTTTCTGATAGGGATAGTATCAACTTTAATCGAGAAGCATCTATGACTGTGGTGAAAAAGACGTCATCTGATCTGACATCCACTCAGATTGATCTTCTGCGCTGGGCTCAAGAACATGGTTACAGTCCAGTCACTTCATATACTAAAGCTTCGGTTGCTAACAGAGTTCACTTGAGGCTTCAGGAAGCTTGTAAGTATCCATGAGTGCACGTACCATGAATTATATTCTGAGCATCTAGAATCATGCCAATAAAAGATAGATGTTTGCTAGGTACAAACATTGATTTGAACCAATTGGAATGAGTTACTTGTAGCAGTGGCTTGAATTTTTGCTCCTATTTTAGGAGTAGGATCAGGGTATTCCCTGGCTCTGCACCCACAATCCAGGAGAAAAGGCTCCATTTGTTGTGATATTTGTTCCATGATGGTCAGATTCTCTGGGACTTGAGCTGGTTGATCCAGAAATCAGTGTGGAAGCTGCCAGGTGCAGAGGCAGGCTGGGTGGGAGGATTGCCTCGGCGCTCCTGCACTGTGCTGAAGCTTTTGTGTAAAAACATAAAAGAGCCCTAGGTGCTCCTCCACAAATGCCCAGTGCCCATCCGTGCCAGCTTACATCCTCCGCTGATCTGCCATGATCTCTCATAGCCTTCATTGTAACCTGTTTTCCCCTGCTCATCTCCTTGGCCTTTTATAGCCCTTATACCATCCTGTACCCTCTCAACCCACCGCATATGCCTTTATAGTCCCTCTCCAAACCTAATCCCTCCAGCCAACGTCCATAGCTCCCTCATACTTTTATTGTCAGTCTGTGCTCAGCTAGCGCCTTCACGCCATTTTTCCTTCACCTTTTGCCCTTTCCATTACCATGAAACTCACCTGGTTTCAGGTCCTGTGCTGGGATGAAATTAACATTTATTGACAAATTTCACTTTGTTTTTCAATGATTTAATATTTTAAAATGTTTTTTTACAACCCATATGTTTTCATTTCTTCAATTATATAATCCTTCGTAAGGAAAGAAGTATTATTTAAGCACTTAATGCCATACAAAACCAAGAATTGGAATTCATATTCCCACTTCAGAGAGGATATAACCACTAGGAGCTGTCAGTCAAACTGAAATGGCAGTCAGCCTCTGTGATAATGGAAGGTTGTGAAATCAGTCATGCAGCACTAATCCGGTAATAATAATCCTGAGTCTTATGTCAACAGAATGGAAAAGCAAGCTATTTTTTAACATCGCAGATAGTTGTTTTTAAATATTTAAATGGCAGGTGTTATATGTGTATTGACAGTCACTTTTCACAGTTGCTTTTGAAACTTTTGATTGGCTTTTGACCCTTCGGCTGAGTTTAATAGTTAATGAGTTTATGCATTTGTTTACACACTCATCTACTTTTAACAATCTTTAACTTTCTTGAAAGTAAAGATATCCAGGGACTATATCCACAGGGTTACTTAACTTGTCCAAAAGAGTATCCCACCTCACTGAAAGATTCACAAAGTTTATTCCAACTTCTAACAAATCTAATCTGAACACACCTAGGTTACCAAAACAAGATACGAATGAAGATAGTTTTTTTTTTTATATGGGCAACTACCTCCTTGAAATGTATCCCAACACCATGAAAATGGTGGGAATTGTGTTTGAAAGAGAGACCTGGATTTCGGTTTCCTCTGTCGTTTTAGTAATGACAAAGAGGCTGTCCATTGTTGCAAAAATCCAGGCTACTGTCATTCCCAAATATTTAAAATAAATCTGAAATAGTTCAAGTTACATTGATGGGATTGTGAAATCTGCTTGATTTAGTTATAAACAATTGACTCAGTGCACAGCATTCAAATCACAAGTCCTGTTCCTGCATCAAGTAATGTACAGTTTGCCTCTGTGAATATAATTGAAAAGTGTGTGATCAACATTCTTAACAGGGTGACCAAGATAAAACCAGCAGCTCTCATTTGATTCCCGTTTGTTGTTAATTCACTGCAGAGGCATCAAATAGGTACAGTTCTGTCTTGGGATGCTGTTGAACTAATTAAATATAGTTTGGCTGTGCCTATTGAGGTTAGTATTCTGTCACACTTACGAATTTTGAAGATAGCAGTGAGGCATTAAAATGATCAGAGACCATTTGTTCCTGAGTACCTGGCCTCTGCATTGCTTAAGCAGCCACAGTGTTATGCGGCTGTTCCTTCCAAAGTTACCAGACCCCTTACAAGTAGGTCGCGAAGATTAGTTAGTGGTAAGTGGTACCATTGAAGGTTAGTAGATGTTTCAGTGTTTTGTTTTTCATTACCTAATATTGCGATTCACATGCTACCTACCACTTGCCAGCTAAAGCCTGGTTGTGTTCCACAAGTCCTGCTTCATTCATTTTGCCCTCTCTCGTATTGAGTTTGATGAGAGGGGCACTCTTCATCAGACCTTCACACCCTGCCTCCAACAGATCCTCTTAAATGGGCAACTAATTCTTACTCCTCATTTTAAAGCAATTAACGCTGCTTTCAGCATTAAATTGCTGTGAAGCAGCCATTGAGATTCTGGCCAGCTGGTAGGAGTACGGTTTGTGGGGACCATGGTGTCCCACTAAATGCTGCCCATTGCTTCTGAGTGAAGTTGGATTGTCAATTCTGTGAGCTGTGGTTGAGGGGAATATGAAGAAGGAGACTACAGCTGCGATGGGCATGCAACTTTATCCCTTAGTGGAATGATACCATTCTTGTACACAAGTTTATTTTGATCATTTCTCAGCTGGGTTTGGTAGTTTGGCATTACCCAGTTAGACAGTTGTAAATTCTTGTTTGAAAGTTGAAGTACATAAAATTTGTAGTCCTTTTGAAACTGAAGTGCTGGAAGTGATTCAGAAATTCTTAATGGAGACAAGAGATGCATTGCAGCTGCTCTGTTGGGGAATCGGCCATCCAAATGTCTGCAGAACAAGTGGTTGGCTGACAGGTGCAAGACCTTCACAACCAAAAAAAGACAAGTTGCTGCAAACCGTAGCAAAGTTGAAAAAAAAAACTGTGCATCTCAACAGGAAATCAACATTTATTTGGCAAGAAGCACTAATGTGTTCAAGCAAAAGTTGGCCAGAATGTGACTGACCTTTTGAAAATGTTGGAAATTTTGTTGCTTCTATTCAGAATCGTATAAAATTAAATCATAGGTCAAGTTGTTGAAATACACAGTTCATCTAACAATTATGAGCAAATTATCACTGTGGCACCAAATTAACTAAAGGGTCTAAAGCTTTTTGTATTATTATACTTTCAAATTAGTCATCACATTTCCCTGATTGTCTCTGTCACTGGATATAACTAGAGACAGGCTTCTTAAAAGGCCTGTATCATAATTATAAAGAAAAAAGCATGATGTTTCTGTTGTTCAAAAAATTATTATTTTTTGAATGAATTGCACACACTTCTAGAAAAATGAATTCACTTGCAGCAGAAAAATCTGTGTAAAAGTCTGTTTGCTTTCTTGCTGTGTGAATCCTACATGAAATTAGATGATATCGTCCTGATGCTTGTGTTTGTAAGTTGATGAATTCTGTCAGTTCAGTTCTCTGTAGAAATGTATTCACATGAATCAGTTATTTAACACTGATATTGGCATAAGTCAGTCTTGGTTTTACTGAACTCACATTGGTTGGTCTAAGTGGTGAAACATTCAAACTGACACATTATGGTGACACTCTGAGGCTGGGCTTCAAACATACTGTTAGGTATTTAGAGATGTACCTTCATTGTATATTTAATGTGTACAATATATGCCATAGGGATATACAGCACAGAAACAGACCCTTCGGTCCGATCAGTCCATGCCTAACTAAATATTAAACATAATTAAACATAATTAAATTAAACATAATCCCAAACTAAACTAGTCCCACCTGTCATGTCCCTCCAAACTTTTCCTATTCATATACCTATCCAAATGTCTTTTAAATGTTGTAATTGTACCCACATCCATCACTTCATCAGAAAGTTCATTCCACCTGCAAACTACCCTCTGTGTAAAAAAATTTGCCTCTAATTTTTTTGTAAATCTCTCTCCTCTCACCTTAAAAATGTGCCCCATAGTTTTGAAATCCCCCATCCTAGGGAAAAGACAACTACCATTATATGCCATTCATTATTTTATAAACTTCTATCAGATCCTTGGAGTCTTTGAAGCTGATTGCACTTTCAATGCTGGAAATATTTAGTTCTTCATTTCTGAAATCATTGTTTTTCAGTTATCACATAATGCTGACATTCTTCACCATTTTCTTGTTATTTTAACCTGTTCCGTATTAGGCAGGATCTGCTTGCACAATTCATTTGTATAACTAACGACCTCTGCATCCATCCCTTGGAGCTCACCTCTCAGCAACATACACATAATTTGACTGGAAATAAATTTTGTGTCATATCATTTCCTCCCACCAAGATTGATAGTGAAGATAGTTGTCAAAGGATACAGCAGGATATAGATCATAGGATCCCTATCGTGTGGAAACAGATTATTTGGCCAATTGAGTCTACACCAACCTGCCAAAGAGCATCCCACCCTATCCCACATTTCCCATGGCTCACCCACCTAGCCTGCACATCCTTCGACACTCTGGGCAATTTAGCATTGCCAATCCACCTAACCTGCACATCCTAGGACTGCGGGAGAACACCAGAGCACCCAGAGGGAACCCAAACAGACACAGGGAGAATGTGCAAACTCCATGCAGTCACCCAAAGGTGGAATTGAACCCGGGTCCCTGATACTGTGAGGCAGCAGTGCTAACCACTGAGCCACCTTGCCACCCTGGTCTGTAATCTAGAGGAAAGTAATTGTGGGACTTGGTGAACATGGAATAAAGGTTGCTTTGACGGATATCACAGTTGGATGAGTCATTCACAGGCAGTCTAGCCAGAAAAGGGCTGTGTTAGATGTCGCCTCCCTTCTTCCTCATCTTCAGCTGGTTGTCATATAATGGTGATATGATGATGAGGTGGTGCAGTATATAACAAGCTGCCACGGTGATTGATCTGCCAAATGTGCACTCCCAGTAATATTGTCACCACACTGGTCAACTTTGTTCTTCCTGCCACCATTTTACTTCTGACACTTGTTTCTCTCTGTCATAATACGTGTGCTATTACTTTCTCTTTTACTCTTGTGTATCCTTCCAATGTGAAGAGTGACTCACAATGCAGTTGAAATGCTTTCTTTGAAACTCTAAAGTGAGGAATTACCGACAAGTGCCTAAGTATCAAACTCTTCCATAAGCTATTTAACTCAGAAAAGAATCAGGAATGAGTATAATGGCTATGGAATCAAACATAATTTATTATTAAAAGATATAGCGTTGTCCTTAAACATTGTAGCTTATTTTTTCTTAATCCTTGGGGAAACAAATAGATGACATTTATTTATTGACAATGTTTAGTTGTTCTGGGAAGGTGATAGTAGGCCCACAGTTTGAAGCATGACAGTACATCTAATGAAGTTGCTTACACAGCACTTAACATAGGGAGAGCCTGCGTTTGACTCGACAGCGATGGAGAAACGGCAAGTTGGATCAAAGTCAGAATGGTGTGTGATTTGGAGTTGATGGTGTTCCGTGGAATGTACTACCTTCGAGCTTCTAAATTGTAGTGGCTGTAGATTTCAAAGGTTCTTTTGAAAAAGCATTGGCAAAACTATGTCCTGGGAAATCTAAGTAGCACCATATTTTATTGTAAATATCACTTTTTAGCAGTCATTGATCACTAAGGGACCAATAAGGCAAGTTAACCCAAGGGAATTATGATTTGTAAACTTTCTAATGTTGAAGATTCTCTTCACCATTTAAAACAAAAACATATTGAATGCTTTTCTCAGCATACCACATCTTGCACAAAAAAATTGTTCCATGGAAAACGCTTATTGGGAATTATTTGATTTTGGATCCTGAGGAGCAGAGCACTTTTCCCCAACCCATGGTTCTCTGTTCAAGAAACAATTCAGTCTCAGCAAGTTTCATTAGTGTTACAATTGAAAGTATATTGCATGCACATGTCCACTGCAAAAAGTACTTGAGACAAATTAGAAACTACAACTGGCAAAGATTCATTTGAAACTCAGCACAAGTCCCTGTAATAATAACTGAGAAGCAATATATTTACCTCTGCAATACCTGAAGGACAAGATGAAAGCCTAAAAGTTACTATTTTATGTTTCCTTATTAATGCGGGTACTAGTAAATGCTTTAATGAGTGCAATATATGCCATTCTGTAAAATAGTGGAGTTACTGTATGTAAATACAATTGCGGTTGCTTTGCCACATTTAGACCTATGGCATTTAGCTGGAAGATTTATTTGAATCCAATATATAATTGACTTGACTACTTTGCCTTTTCCTGGAGGATGATTCTATTAGTTAGGCCAAGTCATTGGTGAGAAAAGATGGCAATTCTTTATCACAACTTGTGATATGCTACCTTGGGCAGCCTTGGTATCATTCATGAAAGCATTCTGAGTATGGACCGTCTCGTGCTCCTATCTTGAGCAGATACTGTAATAGACTAATGTAGAACAGGGACAAGATCAAAGGGGAGGTTGGTTTTCTGTAATCTCATTTTAAAAACTCAGTTATTCAAAAAAGGTTTGGAGAATGAATGGTTTGAAGTAGACTGCATTATAAATTCGAAACAATTGTAAATGTTGAATTTTTAAGTTTCAATCTACATATGTGACGTGGACCCACATAGATTCATTCCAATCTACCAGAAATACTAGAGAATGCCTGTATTGTTCAGATTGCATTTTTGCATTATGAAATGCATTGTAAAAGTACAGTAATGCTACTGTTACTGTTTCACACTATGGTATTAAATACGACAATAGTGTTATGTTTCAGCTGTTCAGAATCTTTATTTTAATCTTTATTTATGAAGTAGCAATGCTGCTAGACGTTTAAAAATTGGCACAATCTTTTCAAAAAAATAGGTCAGATGAGTTAAGTCTTAATTCAGATTGTTATGCAGGGTTCAGTAGAATGTAATGAGAAAATGCAGATTTATTATAATGATAATTTTGCAGTAAATTGGATCTTGAAAGTGAAAACTGTTTGGAAATGTTTGTTTTTTTTTGAAAAATCAATATTGTTTGTTGAATCCTCCCTATTCCCCCACAGCTGAAGAAGAGGAGATAGAATCTTTTCTTCCACCAGAACTTTCAATTCTGCGGGAGCCATTGAAATCACCTGATGAGGTGTTTCCTGAATTCCGAGACGTCTTTGAATTTTCATTTCCTTTTGACCAAGATGATTATGACAGGGTGGACACATCTCACAAGCTGCCACAGATACCCCAGGATAGCACATTTGAGCAACTAATGAGGAATGGGTTATCTGAAGCAGAAGAGATTCAGACTGTTGAAAATGTGGCTCTGTCGGTTCAGTGCGAGGACAAAAGAATAATAGCTGCAATTGAGAAGAGCAGCCTGCAGGTTTGTTTAAATCCATTACCTTTTTCTGCCATGATAATGTGTGAAGTGTTTGCATATTCACATTTACAGTGTTAATAATACGAGGTGTCAAAACCTTTGGCTGCCCTGTACCATTATGTATCAGAGTTCATTCCTTGCTGGCTAAGCAACAAGGCTGTGCTTAAGTTTAATGTTTGCACATGAGTTATTTTACTTTGAAGGTAGCCTGACCTGGAAGAACAATTTAATAGTTTTCACCAAAATGGTTAGGCCAGCAGCTGTCGTTGAGCATGCACCTTTAAAGAGTTGCTGCCCTTTCCCATGATGTTTGTTTTAATAGTTACTGTATCTTTATTTGGAAGAAAAACAATTGATTTTGATTTTCATCTTCTCGGTCTTAAAGGAATGAGTTAGTTCAGCAAAGAAACCTTTAAAGCAAAACATGTTCACAGTGTCATTTACTACTTGGTCCTATCTATGGCCAGCAGAGTTTTGTTCCAAAATTCACTGCCAGTAGTAGTAGAAGTGTCAGTTTTCTCCTGTTCATCCCATCAACCACACCACATCCCAGGACTGGACATTAACTACCAATACAGGGGAGGCAATGGCCTATGGTATTATCGCTGGACTGCTAATCCAGAGACCTAGACAACATTCCATGGACTTGGGTTCGAATCCTGCCACTGCAGATGGTGGCATTTGAGTTCAATAAATATCTGGATTTAAGAATCTAATAATGACAGTGAGTCGATTGTCGGAAAAACCCCGTCTGGATCACTAATGTCCTTTAGCAAAGGAAACTGTCATTCTTACTTGATCTGGCCTATATGTGACTCCAGACCCACAGTAATGTGATTGACTCTTAATTGCCCTCAATTAGGGATGGGCAATAAATGCTGCCTAGCCAGCAATGCCCTAATCCCCAAAAAGTAATATAATAATCAATAAATTGACTCCATCTATACTTCGTGCTGTCTCGGGAAAGCAACCAGCACAATCAAAGACCCCTCTTACCCCAGTTATACTTTCTTCTGCCCTCTTCCATCAGGCAAAAGATATAAAAGTTTGAATATACGTACACACAGATTCAAGAACTCCTTCTTCCTTGCTGTTATCAGACTTATGAACTGACCTGTCAAATGTTAATGTTGGTCTCTCTCTCTGCATTTTCTCTGGAGTTGCAACACTATTCTACACTTTGTTCTGCTACCCTAATGCACTTTGTATGGTGCAATCTGCCTGTATAGCATGCAAAACAACACTTGTCACACGTACCGAGATACAGTGAAAACAATAAATTAATCTCCAATCGTTACTTGTTCGATACACTGTTAGAGCACCAATGCAAAGCAAACGGATTATATTCATAACTTGGACATGTTTGTTTGGAGGAGCAGTAATACACAGCAAGGATGTTGTGTGTTTTAAATGTTTTTGTCCCCTTTTTCCTTTAGGCTGAGGTGACTGCAGTAACACAAGTTTCTCTACTGGATCCAAAATGCAAAGCAAAGGAAAACTCTACACATTACATTTTGGAGTCTTCACTCACTAGCTGTGGGACAACTAAATACCCTACTTCAGATGGTTTCACCATTTATTTGAACTCGGTAAGCAAACCAAATGTAATATTTCTATTTTAAATTTGTTTCAAATGGCTGAAGATAAGAATGTCTAATTTTTGTACTTGGGGAAAGATTATCACTTGTTTTAAAAAAAAACACTTCGTGAAAATATAAATATTTCTTTGCTGCATGATATGCTACATAGAAGTTATTAGTTAGAAAAATTATTACCAATTAGGTTCTTACAATACAATGGTGTAAACTAAGTAATTGAAATGATTAGTTTTATCCACCAAAAGTAGTTTCAGAATTATTTTCTCAATCTCTTAATTTCTTGTTAAGTGTGGGATTTAGGGCTGTTAACCCTATAACCACAGCAGAAACCTGATGAGAAACTTGAACATTAGCCTGGATGAACGAGTGCATTTCCCTTGACCAGTTCCAGTTGTTCCTGCTTAGTTTAGAAAGAGAATTCCAGGCATACTGTAAAGGAATCCAAGACAAATGGTTACAGCGATGAAAGAAAGCTTTAGAGGTCTTTTAGGAGTGAACCAGGGAGCCAAGTATAATGAAAACAAAACAAGAGGGTGCAAAACAACAGCTTTTACAGCATTCTGCATATAAAAGTTCGACTTCAGCAGTTTCCATGGTACATTGTGAAACAGTGGGAAGCAAAAAGACAATAATGGAAAATGAGGGAATCAAAAAACATTGTCTTAAATCAAGGTTTTAAGGAGGTGACAGGACAAATAGATGGATGGGGCAAGTTACAGATGGCAGGGGCATAATGACTTAGCAACCACCAATGGAAGTTTGGAAGGAGTGTTGGGGAAAAGATAGTAGTAGCGAGGTGTTTAAAGAACAGAACAGAAGTGTACAAATTTTGGACTAAAATTGATAGTCGGAAAGAAAAAGCATTTTATTTTACTTATTCTTTTATGAACAATGCTTTGGGAAATCAACTAATACAAAATGATTTTTCTAAATCACTGAAATTTTTCCTAATAGTTTGTGATACAGCCAGAGTACCCCTTTGAAGAAAGTGGATGGTATGGTGATAATGAAGAATCAGGAGACAATGGCTTCCCCGGAGATGGCGACGACCCAGTTCAAAACAGACCAAAAATTGTTCGGGTATGCTGTTTGAATTTACATTCTGAAGTTCTTTCTGCAAGCCAAACAGGTTAGAGGTCATGGAAATGTACATTTTTTTGCAAGGACAATAGTCTTCTCACATTCACCACCCTACAATATTACTGTTAACCCTTCATCAGCTGGTCTCCAAATTTGTGCTCACCCTAGGCAACTCCACTTGATTTAGTACAGTGAGGCTTAATAATACAGTTTTGGTTTTCAGCTGTCATTATTAGCATAAATAATGAATAAAGTCTAATGTATGTTATTTGTTTCCTGTTTTGCCATTGATGAAAAAGACAGTTTCCAAATGTGAGATGTGTAGTGATAAGTTGTTCAGTGATTATTTTCAAGCTGTCTCTTGAGAGTTTGTTATTACAATCATGACCTTATTATGATATTGTATAATGCTCTTGAAATAAACTGTGCATTCAATTTTGTATCCATTTCCCTTTCATAAGAGGGTGCAATTGTATGGGTACCTCGTCCAAGTGGATTTTCTTAATTTGTGCTGTCAGTGCTTAGATGGGAGCATGAATGAAGGCAGTCAGCCCATAAGAGAGGGGGACTTAATTAAGATGATATAGAAGTCAGTTGAGGGGCTGACAGCACCAGGGACAAATACGCCTTTGAAGCCCCCTAACACCAGCTGTCCTGCCCACAGCTGCAGCCACAGGCTGTCCTAAGGACATGAGTGCCCTGTGCAATGTCAGCTCACTAACTGTGCCATTTTCTTCACAATAAGAGTTTTAATGTTGCTGAGGAGGTGCCCTTTCTCTTACTTACTTGCATAAACAAGTTCCAGTTTGCTTCGGTCCAAGGGTGCAATCCATTAGACAACCAGCTTCAAGACCCTCTTTACCAACTGTAATTAGTCAGCAGGATCTCCTTCTGGTCACTAATTGACCATTTCAGAAAAACTCACTGCTGAGTGATTGCTTCCAACCCAGTGCAGGGTCAGGAAGCCAATTTGACACCAGTGACAACCCAACTCAACCCAAAATACAAATGCTGCTCATTATATCTGAGACTGATTCTAACCTTACATGGACATGCGTGTGTGAACTTTCATTGGAGCTCCTTGACTGGTTCCTGCTGGGCCTAATTTTAATGAAGGAAACCGGGGAAGTGGTGGGCGTGGCAATGAGGTAGCTTTTTGGGGATAGTGATAACAATTCATAAGATTTAAGGTAATTATGGATAAGGCCAAAAATGGACTGGAAATAAAGGTTTTGAATTGTGTGAAGACCAATTTTTAATAAGACAAGACAGGATCTGGCTGAAGTTGTCTGGGAGCAGCCATTTGTAGGAAAATTAATATCAGAGCACTGAGAAATATTCAAAAGGGTAATAATGAGAGTGCAGAGTCAACATGTTCTCATAAATGCGGAAGGTGAGACCAGGAAGTTCTGAGAACTCTGCATGTCAAAGGCTATAGAGGATTGGATAAGAAATAAAAACTAAGTTTATGATAGATACCAAAAGTTCAAAGCAGTGAATGCCCTCATAGTATAAAAGTGCAGGGGATAGCTTAAAAAAGAAGTTAGGAAACCAAAGAGTGGACATGGCAGGTAATATTAAGGAGAATCCTTATAGTATAGGTACATTAGGGGCAAGTGAATAACCAGGGAAAGAGTAGTGGGATACATTAGGGACCAAAGTGGCAACTTGTGTGTGGAGCCGGAGACGCAGCTGAGGATTTAAATGAGTACTTTCAGATGTATGCACAATAGTAAAGGATGATACAGCTCTAGAAAGCAGGGATGGGAGCTGTGATATGATTGAACAAGTTAGCATTGAGAGGGAGAAGGTACAAGTGATTTTGGCAGGCTTGAAAGTAGACAGACTCCCAGGCCCAGATGAGATGTATCCGAGGTTGTTGAGGAATAAAACGGAGAAGATTGCAGGGGCTCCAACATTAATTTTCAAGTCCTCTTTGGCAACAGAAGGGGTCCTGGAGGACTGGAGGGCAGTTAATGTGATCCCATTATTCAACAAGGGTCATAGCGATAAACCATGAATCTCAGGCTAGTGAGTCTAACAACTGTGATAAGGAAACATTTAGAAAAAATTCTGAGGGACAGAATTAAACTCCACTTGGAGGGACAGGTTTGCAGGTGACACAAAAATTGGTGGTGTGGTAAAAAGCAAGAATGAAAGCCTTAGACTACAGAATGATTATAGATGTGCTGAACCACGGTAAATGGAAGCTAATCCTGAAAAATTTGATGAAGACTAACAAGACATATTGAACGTAGGACTCCAGGCATGATAGATGATCAGAGGGACCGATGTGCATGTCTATAAATCCTTGCAGGGGGCTAGACTGGCAAATAAGGTGCTTAAGAAGGCGTGTGGGATACTTGGCTTTATTAGTCAAGCCACTGAATGCAAGAGCAAGTTATAGTAAAACTGTATATAACATTAGTTCGACCACAAATAGAGTACTGTGTAGTTCTGGTCACCACACTATAGGAACGATATGATTGCGCTAGAGACGGTGCAAATAGATTTCCCAGGATATTGCCTGGACTGAAGCAATTCAGCAATGAAAAAAGACTAGATAGTCTGGATTTATTTTCTATCGAGCAGAGAAGGCTGAGGGGGAAATCTGATTAAGGTGTATATATTCCTGAGGGGCAAAGACAGGATGAATATGAATACACATTTCCCCTTTAGTAGAAGGGTCAATAACGAGTCGACCCAAATCTAAGGTTAGGGACAGGAGGTTTTGCGGGGATTTGAGGAAAAGTATTTTCATCCAGAGGTTGTGGGTATTCAGAACTCACTGCCTGAAACGGTGATAGAGATGAGAACCCTCAAGACATTGAAGAACTGTTTAGATGAGCACTTGAAATGTCATAGCATACAAGGCTAGGAACCAAGTACTGGAAAATGGGATTGGGATACTTGGATATTTGCTGACTAGCATGGATAAAATGGTCTGAAGGATCTCTTTGCACGCCATAAAAACTGTATCACTCTATGACTAATGATAGTGTCTAATTTTCTTCATCTACAGATGTTAAAGAAGTTGCAGCAGTTAGAATTCTGTAGAAGTTTCAAACTTGACTGCTTCATTCATTGAACATTTTAATCATAATTCACTAAATTTTGCTAAATTACCTCAAAGAGTTTGTGGTATACTGAAATTTGTAGAAAATGTTTAATTGTTGATGGCAACTTTTATGGATATTTCAAAGGTAATTTCATTTTGTTTCAGTTTAACTGTACATACTTCACGCCTAGTAAGAAGTCTAAGATGCCTTCCCATTCTGGTTTCCCTTCTTTGACACAAAACAAGAATGCAACTTTGAACATGGAGCTTTACAACACAGATCTATTCCGTACTCCCTCACAAGGCGTGCACACTGTTTCGGAGAATAACCCGTTATTTGTTGAGGTAATGAGTTGCAAATGAGTTGAATAATTGTGTAGGCTGTGCCTTTTTTTCTGAACTGTTGCAGTTCTTTTCTTGGCATCGATTCATAAATTCAAGTGAACAGATGGTTAATTTATGGTTTAAGTTTCTTTGGTTTGATCGGGATAATTGTAGGAATAATAAGTCCAAAATTATCTTGGGATTTTGACCAAATAGATTCTTCTAAACATCGCACTGACCATAATTTCATTCCAATGTATAATAGCCTTTGTTAAACTAGTGTTTTTTTCTCACAAATGTTACGTTATCTTCTTAATGAAAAACTGAAGTCATAGATTATCCACATTCCTGCTCATGCACGGCAATGTGAATACATTTTAACTATTGACAAAATCCACCAAATTCATGTCCAACAAAATGAATAGTGACTGACCATTTAGTTGTTTAAAGATCAGTTGATAATGTTACAATTAAAGGATTGAGCCCTGTTATTCACTGCAGAGGCACTGTATGCATTCTCTCCAACAGTAATGTTATGGGTATGAGAAGCAGTGAAGGATTCGCCCCAAGTGTCTCCATGTTGACAGTATAGTAAGTGTTTCTGCAAAAGAGTAAAATAGGATAAGTGTGAGTCTTTTTCAACCATGAATGGGAAAAGACCTTGCCTGTAGAATATTCTTCTCCTATAATGCTGATTGTCGTCAATTTGAAGACGTTGTACTGTGACTTGAAATCATTCTAATTTGCTTTTCTCTCATCACATGCATTTAGGTGTCTGTAACCAAATCTGACCCAGAAATTAGTTTTGTTATCCAGACCTGCTATATTTCTCCATCGTCGGACCCCGTTTCCTCTTCAGATTACTACACCATTATCGAAAATATTTGTCCAAAGGAGGATTCTGTGAAGTTCTACAGTCCTCAGAAGCTTGATTTCCTTGTGCCTCATGCAGAGATGGAAAGAAAAAGATTCAGCTTTGTGTTTAAGCCGGTCTACAATATGTCCTTAGTTTTTCTTCATTGCGAAATAACATTATGCAGCCAAAAAGATACTGAAAGCCAAGGATTTCCTAATCTTCCTAAGGTTTGTCATATTTCTAAATATAACACATCCTAGCAATGTGAAAGATGAAGGCTGTTTACATCATTTAGATGTTTAGAGTGTCAGAATAATCAAATTTGCTTATCTGTGTTCAGTAACACTAGTTAGAAATTTTTCAGGCACTTATCCAGCTGAAGATAACATGCCCTTTATCCCAACAAGTTACTGTGGATTTTCTTGTGGGCACTGCTGAAATAATTAATTTGGCCACCAGAATAATTTTTTTTTGACGTTTTGAAATTACATCTTAAACTTCTGTGATTGTTGCTTGTATGGTTTGTATTTTTTTCAATTAGCTTTTTAAGTGTTGCCAATTATGCAATTATGCAGTGTGTCTTGTGTTACAGGAGACTTTTAACTGGGTTTGTGATTTATGAAATTTTGTGATTTATCTTTGCAAGATAAACATATAACAAAAAATATCTGCTGAATGCTACGTATTACACATATTTGGAAAGGCAAGACTGGGGATAATCAACATGGCTTTGTGCATGGCAAATCATGTCTCACTAACTTGATTGAGTTTTTTGAAGAAATAACAAAGAGGATTGATGAGGGTAGAGCAGTGGATGTGATCTATATGGACTTCAGTAAGGCGTTTGACCAGCTTCGACATGGTGGACTGATTAGCGAGTTTAAATCACACGGAATACAGGGAGAACTAACTCGAAGGTAGAAGACAGAGGTTGGTGGTGGAGGGTTACTTTTCAGACTGGAGGCCTGTGACTAGTGATGTGCCACAAGGATCAGTTCTGGGCCCACTGCTTTTTGTCATTTACACAAATGATTTGGTTGTGAACATAGGAGGTATGATTAGTATGTTTGCAGATGACACCAAAATTGGAGGTGTAGCGGACAGCAAAGATTACCTCCGAGTATAATGGGATCTTGATCAGATGGGCCAATGGGCCAAGGAGTGGCAGATGGAGTTTAATTTAGATAAATGTGAGGTGCTGCATTTTGGAAAGGCAAATCAGGGCCGGACTTACACACTTAATGGTAAGATCATGGGAGTGTTACTGAACAAAGAGACTTTGGAGTGCAGGTTCACAGTTCCTTGAAGGTGGAATCACAGGTAGATAGGATAGTGAAGAAGGCATTTGGTATGCTTGCCTTTATTGGTCAGTGTATTGAGTATAGGGGTTGGAAGGTCACGTTGTGGCTGTACAGGACATTGGTTAGGCCACTGTTGGAATACTGCAATTCTGGTCTCCCTGTTGTAGGAAGGATGTTGTGAAACTTGAAAGGGTTCACAAAAGATTTACAAGCATGTTGCCAGGGTCGGAGAGCTTGAGCTATAGGGAAAGGCTGAATAGGCTTGGTCTATTTTCGCTGGAGCATCAGAGACTGAGGGGTGACCTTATAGAGGTGTACAAAATTATGAGGGGCATGGATGGGGTAAATAGAAAAGGTCTTTTCCCCATGGGGGAGTCAAAAACTAGAGGGCATAGGTTTAAGGTGAGAGGGGAAAGATATAAAAGGGACCTAAGGGGCAACTTTTTCACGTGGATGGCGGTGCACGTATGGAATGAGATAGCAGAGGAGGTGGTGCAGGCTGGTACCATTACAATTACAACTTTTAAATGTCATGAGGATGGGTACATGATAAGGAAGGGGTTACAGGGATATGGGCCAAATGCTGGCAAATGGGACTAGATTTAAATAGGATATCTGGTCAGCATGAACAAGTTGGATCGAAGGGTCTGTTTCTGTGCTGTACATCTCTATGACTCTGCAAAATTTCCAAGGAATCAATAAGCGACTTAAGTTCGTGACTTGAAAACATTTCAAATAGATTGTTTGCCATGTGTAGAAATCAAAAAAGGGTCATTAACATCAAATGTAACAAGTTCCAGCTATAACATACTTAACTCATTGGTTAAAATGTAACCAGACCTTTGCAGTGCGGGTTAACATACAGACATTACAGTGTTTGAATTTGTATATCCTTGAGCTCACTTGGTTTGCTTGTATTCTGCTGCAGTGCATTCCTCCTGATGAAGCTTGTATAGATGTGAATTTGCAAATAATAATGGCTATGATGAGATACAAACAATCCTTCACCAAGCCACTGGCTGTTATTCGTGAAAGAATGAATCTGCCTAAGACACCAGGTGAGTCAACAATAGTAATCTAAAAGTAGTGTACATGTGTAATGTATAGTTCTGTCCATTGGTTTACGTAATCAGTAAAGTATGTTGAATTTTGTAATCAGTCATTGCATTTCTCCAACACTGGACGCCCATGTAGCCTTAGCTCCTCTTGTCCAATTATTAGTAGTCCAAGCTTCAGCTGTCTACAGGCTAAACCTGATAATTTCCTCCTGTAAATCTTTCTAGCCTTCCACATCTGTCTCCTCTAAGAAACACCACAAAACCTTTCTCTGGTCAAGCTACTAGTCATCTGACTTTAAAGCTGCTTTGTCAAAAATCACACAACACCCAGGTTATAGTCCAACAGGTTTATTTGAAGAGACAAGTTTTCGGAATCTCCCTCCTCCTTCAGGTGTCAGTGTGAGAGGTAACATCAGACACAGAATTTACAAGCAAAATATAAAAGGGTCATAAAACTGATGTAGTGTTGAACAAACCTAAGGTGGCTATTAAATCTTTAATCAGTTAGAAAGGGTTAATATGCAAATTCCTGAATTTCTTTCAAGTCACTGCCCCAAGATAACTCCACACTACTATCTGTGTGGAGTTTACACATTCTCCCCACGTCTGCATGGGTTTCCTCCAGATGCTCCAGTTTCCTCCCACAGTCCAAAAATGTGCAAATTAGGTGGATTAGCCATGCTAAATTGCCATAGTGTCCACAGGTGTGCAGGTTAGATGGATTAACTGTGCTAAATTGCCATTGTGTCCAGGGATGTGCAGGCTAGGTTGATTAGCCATGGAAAATGCAGAGTAACAGGGATAGGGTAGGGGGGTGGGTCTGGATGGGATGAGCAGAAGCTGGAATGGAAGCATTTGATAATGGAATTTCAGGAGAGGTGAGCGCAGAAAAGATGAGGATTTGTTCAAAACATTTTTAAATGGAACATAAGTTTGAGAGAACGAATAAAGATAAGGGATCAAAGGATATGAAGAGAAGGTGAGAACAGAGTGCTGAGTTGGATGATTAGCCATGATCATATTAAACGGCAGAGAAGGCTCAAAGGCCTGAATGGCCTACTCCTGCTGCTATATTCTATGCTTCTGTAAGACAGTAGATAGGGAGTGCAAATGATGCAAGAGGGATACCTTTTACAAGAGTGGTGCTTTGGGTAGTTTTTCTAGGGCAGAGGGATCATCCCACAGGAAAGGAAATTTATCAACGAAGCGACTACGCTCTCGAAACACGTCTGTTTACAATAAGCACATAGTTTTATGGTGAATTATTAAGTCAGATTGCTCTTTTATCACAAGCTTAATGGTTTTGCAGATTTTTACAGGTGTTTCAAAGATAGCGTCCTGTATTCTGCACGTATTTCAGCTCTTTGTTCCAAATTGAGAGCTAAATCAGATGGGGTGAACATTAATGGATCTGATGTTCTTTCTTCATTTTTCTGAACATATGTTTGTAGGTATGCAACATGATTTTGTGAAATTTGTTGGAAACGTAGGCAAATAACCTAAACAGTATCCACATTCACTGCAGCAAGGAGAGTAAAAGAACCGTGAATTCTAATAATTTGACAAAAGCGTGTTATTTTGATTTTAGAGTTCTCTGATAATACTTAGAGATGGGCAAACATGCACAATGATCCACTTCCCAAGAAAGGTTGCATCCTTGTACAGACCACTTGCTTCCTACCAACTGAACACAAGCTGTATGGTAGTTTAATAGTGATAACAAGTCTCTTGAAGGAATTGAGTAGTTGTGTAATACAACTTGGCTGATGACAACTACTCACTTTTATAATTTTTTTAACACATGTAGGCCAGACCAGGTGAGGATGGCAGATTTCCTTCCTAAAGGACATCAGTGAACCAGATGGGTTTTTCTGACAGCTAACAATGGTTTCACAGTTATCAGTAGATTCTTAATTCCAGATTACTTTTAATATTGAATTCAAATTCCATCAACTGCTGTAGTGGGATTCAGACCTGGGTCCCCAGAACATTAGCTGAGTTTCTGGATTAATAGCCTAGCAATAATTCCACTAGGCCATCACCTCCCCCGTCATTCGTATAAAACATTGAACACTAAGAAAGTAAACACTGAACTTTTTTTAAGGCCTGGAACATAGCCCCAATGCAGGCTGCTATTCAAAGATGTCAGCATTCCAGCGACTCCTGCTGGATTCATTTGGGCAGGTCAAGGTTGAGGATGCTGGGCCCTGACCAGTTTTGGCAGTCCATTGTCTCTGTTATTCTTTTCCAGTTTTGTGCTCTGAAAAAAATTCTCCAGTTTCACTGCACTTACACAACACGGCAGACAGCAGTTCAGATACAAAAAGTTCAGCTGACCAAGAAGGTGGTCCAGAGAAACTGAGATAGCAGATCAGCTCATTGTCTTATTCTGCAGCAAATGTGGCATAGGCAGCCATGTCAGAGGCAATGATTAACACAGTTGACCACTATGCTACAAGCCACAGTCTCATGAGACGAGAGGCTGCTACCACATAAAACATCTTAAATAATGGCCAGCATTCTTTTACACTCAAAGGACAGTTCATTCCAATGTGGTAAATTTGTCTTTGTACAAATTAAACGCAAATTGGTTTGTTATTTTCACTTAATACCAACATACAAGTAGAAGGATTTTATTTGATTTTTTCCAAGAAAATTGATTGACCTGTGGTATTAACCCTCAGCAAAAATTCAAATGTTTTGGATTGCAGAGAAAGTTTTCTTTTTCATTTACATTTGGACTTCATTAGTATGTGGTAGCAATGCATTATTTACTCAAAAGGACGAATGAAGTGAAGGTTAATGTTTATAACCACATGGACAGACCAATGTTACTGCCTGAATCTGCTCCATAAAATAATTTATTTGGTTATCAAAGGAAAGTTGCTTTAAATAAAATCTGTGAAGGCACTTTATGACCTGAGTCTTGGTAGCATTGCTACAAATTAACTGCAATTGAAAGTCCAAAAGCATCATCAGAATGAGTCAACATAAGCCTTGTTTAATTCCACTCTTATCTAGCCATGTATAGGAAGAACATTTCTGTCAATGGTTTCTCTTTTCACAATCACTGGAGATGCCTACGACCATCCTTTTGATGTTCTTTTCTACTTTGGCAATGTTAATTGCATATAAAGGTATTCGCTTCCAAATTCATGGTGACACCACCCAGTTCTACTTCTGCGTTACACCTTGCCATGCTTCCACTGCTGTGATGTCCGATTGCTTGCCTGCTGTTCAGCCTCAGATGAGCACTGGGAAGAACAAAGCAGCCACACTTTGCCTTTCTGCAAACTCCGAAACCTAAAAGTTTGAAATATACTGTTCACAACCTCGTCTGAGCTTTCAATCCTGTAGCCTTTGAGGGTAATTTTAACTGTACCTGTGAAGTGTGACACTAACAAGATCAGATCGACCAGCAGTTCATTTTTTCAAAACTTCCTTGGCCAGTCTCCCATCCTCAATCCTTCTAAGCTGCAGTTCATTCAAATCTCGGCTGCATATATCCTATCCTGCGGTGTGTCCTGAAGGGAATTTTGTAGCCCATAAAGTTTATTTGTCAGCATTGTTGCAATGAAAACATAAGAGCATCATCTGGAATGATTAATGCCACTCCCTTATAAGCAACATGTTTTTGTAACACATGGACATGGTTTATCTTTTGTTTTCTAAGTAAAATAAGCAGCCTTTTCAATGTGGAAAACATTTTGTTTAACTATTTACTTATGAGTGGTGTTCAAAGGGTAAAAAGGGGAAAGGAAGAGCGAAATCTAGTGAATATACTCTGCCATCCTCTTTTATTGTTCATGTGCATATATAAATAAATGGTAGGTTACTGTGGCTTAGTTTTTAAAAAGTGGTTTGGAGAACATTAAGATCTCAGTAAGTCAGTTTAGTTAAGCTCTCCCTTCCTGAAAATGCAACAGCAGGTTCCTTAAAATGAGAGAGCATCTTGAAGTAATCTGATCATTCAAGTATATTTATACGCCATGATGTAGATAAACGATGAGGTAAGAGTTTAAATAAAGACGAACAGTAATACAGTATCATCAAATGTAACAAAGTATTATTGTTTACTGTACAGATGTGTCAAAAATTGCTCACTCTCCACATTATTCTTCAATGATAACAAAGAACAGGCAGCTTTTCCCTGATATGCTTAAGCAGTTCAGTGAACTATTACGCCATTGAGGCGCACTTAAGACCATAAGAAACAGGAACAGGAGTTGGCCATTCAGCCCCCTGAGCCTCCTCTACCATTCAGTAGGATCATTGCTAATCCCAACAATCCTCACATCCACTTTCCTGCCCTTTTCCCATAATCCTGATTCCCCAACTGATCAAGAATCTTATCTGTCTCAGCCTTAAATACATACAAGGACTCTGCCCCACAGCTGTCTATGGCAAGGATTTCCAAAGTCACTTAAGCCCTCTGAGAGAAGAAATTCCTTCACAACTCAGTCTTAAATTGGCACCTCTTCATCCTGAGACAATGCCATCTGATCCTAGACTGTCCCATGAGAGGAAACATCCTGCCAGCATTTACCCTATCAAGCCACTTAAGAATTCTATATGTTTCAATGAGATCATTTCTAATTCTTCTAAACTTCAGTGAGTAGAGTCCCAACGTGTTTAGCCTATGCTCAAATGACAATCCCTCACACCAGGATCACCCTAGTGAATCTTCTGTGGACTGCCTCAAATGAAATAATATCTTTTAAATAAAGGGACCAAAAGTGCTCACCGTACTCCAGATGTGTACAGTTGCAGTAAGACTTCCCTTCTCTTATAATCCAACCCCCTTGAAATAAGGGCTAACATTCCATTAGCCTTCCTGATTACCTGTGTGCTAACTTCTGTGTTTCATGGACAAGTACCTTTGTGTTGCAGCTGTCAGCAGTTTTTCACCATTTAGATAACTTTTTGCCCACTTATCCTGTGAATGTCTCTCTGTAAACTATTGGTATCTTTCTGACAACCTGCCTTTCCACTTATTTTTATGTCATCTGCAAATATGGGTATGGTATATGCACTTTCTTCCTCAAACTTATTAAAATACATTGTAAACAGTTGCGGTGCCAGCACTGATCCCTGTGGAATCCCACTCGTTACAGATTGCCAACCTGAAAAAGAATTCCTTATCCCCACTTGCTGTCTCCTGCCTATTTGCCAATTCTCTAGCCATGCCAATATACTTGAGTAATGTGGCCAGTTTTTATATTTTCTTTTATTTATCCCCTAAGTGTATGTGTTTGTCTGTATGGGCTCTTATCTTATAACTTCACGCATACTTTACTACTTTATAAAGAGGTTGTACACTTTAGCATACTTAAGTCACACAAAGTAAAGATTCTGATTAATAGTTTCATTAAATACATTTATTTCTGTCCTTTTCAGTGATTCCTGACAGCCAGGTTAATGTAGAAAGACCACGGCCTTGTAAGTTGGATGATTAAATGTTATTTTAGCTTTATTATCGATATGTTCATATGGATAAGAATTTTCTAATGACAGTAACATTCACTTTAATATGTAATATATGTCTCATTTGCAGTGATTTGTCAAAAAATCCTTTTAAGTTTTTTTTCTTTTGGGAAAGTGCTACTCACGTGAATTGCACACCAGTGACTATTTGATAAGGTACCACACATTAGGCCACTTAATAAGGTAAGAACCAGTGGTGTTGGAGTATAATATCCTCTATCATTCCTCTACCTGGCCACTAATAGGATTCAGAGAGTTGGGATAAGAGGGGCATTTTCAGGCTGGTGATGTGGTGTGCTACAGGGATCACTGCTGGGGCCACAGATATTTATAATAATATATTCATGATTTGGATGAAGAAAGTTACAAGACGGAGACAGACAGCTGAACCAAATCAACCTTTCTAACTCTGTATTCACAATTTAAAACCTTCAAAGACCCTAAAAATTGACCCCAATGTTCCTAACCAGACTTTTGAATAACCAATACCAGATTCTGCAAATGGTCAATTCCAGACATTGGTTTGTGTCTTAAACAAAAGACTTAATAATTTATTAACAATATAATAATTTTAGGAGAGCAAGATTAAATAAAGTAATCTAATTGGTCCTAAATGCTATAAACCCAACAGCTTTCATTTGCAGAGATAGTAGGAACTGCAGATGCTGGAGAATCTGAGATAACAAGGTGTAGAGCT